ACACACACACACACACACACACACACACACACACACACACACACACATGTTGCAGGTGTACTGAGAGAGACAGAAGACAGCTAAGCCACTGTGCTAGCAAACATGCTTACTTGATCTATGTGTGATATACTGTTGAAGGAAAGGTCCAGCCAGGCGAGCTGTGCCGGCTCAGCCAGGAAGTGGTTAACAGTCCTCTGGAGGTCATGAAGATCAGTGATGTTGTTGTTGTTGAGACGAAGGGAGCAGCTTCGGTACTTCTTCTTTGAATTTCTCTTTAAAGGCCGCAGACTGCTGCTGGGTTCCTCTGTCCATGCATCTGAGAACGCAAATAAGAAAGAAATACAGTGAATATTACTGGCTCGCAAATTATATTTATGGTGCACATTGTTTCCATGGCATCTAAATGTATTGATCAGTTTATAAAAGATCATGCATTGCAGGCATCATCTAATTATTACCTTGAGCCGGTTATGCATTCATTCGGTAGAACAAATAGTTAGAATAACACATTACAAACTATTTACAGAGATATACTGAACATTTCTTTCTGCGTTGATCTAATCATACTTTATGGTTATTTTAAGTATTCTGCAGTTCACTGTAATGTGCAGCTATTTAAACAGAGCTGCAATAATGTTATAGCGAAAATACAATGTGGAAACCCCCCCCAAAAGTGCTATAAGGAGGCTAAAAAACCTTAGAGGAATATGATAGTGTACTACCTGACAACCTGCTGACGTGTTTGAAGGATAAATCCACTGGAGCTCCGTACATATTCCCACGTGTAATAGATCCACTCACCTGTGTGAGGACATGTGACGTCATGGTGAATTAGAGTCAACAGTGATCATCAAACACCATTCATTTATTCAAACTGTTCTAAAAAACAACAACACAAAAAGCTTGATTATAATGAATTCGCTGACACTATTAACTATATTATGGATTTGCAAAAAACACTACACAGCTATAAATTGCCTATTTCGACCTGATTTTCTGTAGCTGACCTACCTCAATTGTTGACATATCACAAATATCATAAACATACCAATAAACTACGGGATATTATAAAACCAACACGCTCTTTATCTTAAGTTATTTATAAACCCGTGTGTCGACGTGGCTAGATAGACGTTTGCCTGTCGAAGAGACAACAACGCGTTTCCAAGGAAACGAACGAGGTGGATTATGGGATTTTTGTCGTGAGGGTTTATATCCTCTTGCTGGATCATATATGTGTAAATAGATAACAATTACAATTAATTTACCCCACAAACTTCTGTACAATATGAACAGTATTAATGTATTAATTAAAACCATTTGGAGCGTGCGTGTGTCATTTTGTGTGCATGACGATTCTCTCGCTTGCTTTCTATTCCGGCGTACACCGAATTAATTCGTGGGGCGGAGTTAGACGTCAGCACTAGTTTTAGAACTGGTTTGACCAGCTGCAACCTGACTGATGCTGACGCAACAACAAAACATAAAGAAAAAAGCAAAATGTAAAAAGTTTTGTGAATGCTTTGTGCATTTTTAACTTTATTCTTTCCCACTTACCTTAAAGCGAAGCGAACCCACCACGGCACCAACCGGAATCAATAACGAGTGCGACGTTTAGTTTACTTCCTGCTTTTAAACCAATCAACTCGGGTTATTTTCAGACGCGTCTGTATGTGAATGCGGATTGGCTGGTTCAATCTTCTGCAACCCTTTTTGAATTGTGTCCGGCCCCTCATGCGATTATTTATTTCGTAGCTGTAGGTTCGTTTAGAAAGACGTAGAGACCGCATCTCTTTTCAGAGGACGAATAAATACTTTACAGACGAAAGGACAAAGTCTTCAAAGGTGAGTCACTGCTGGAGAGCAACATTACATTACCGTTGGTATTCAAGAATTCAAGAACACTTGATAAGTTACAGGTAACGTTAGCGTTACTGTAACCAACGAATGTTGGTTAATTTAAGGGTAACAAACTTCAGCGTATTGCTATATTTACTAACACTAAGTTAGCATTCGGCAAATTAACTAATGTTGGAGGCTTTGTTTAGGCTTTGTTTTTTGGTTTCCAGGTTGAACTCTATTTTGAGTTAAAGGTTCAGCCAGCATGACTATTAACTTGGGTGTCAAGGCTCTTCTCGGCTGGGTAAGTTCATTTAACGTTCATGTTATTGTGCAAATATATTGGATCACGCAAAGCTTGAAGTTAGATGGATCAGAATAGATTGGATGGATGGATGGATAGATAGATGCAGTTGTCTTTAACCAGTTTATTTAAATGATCTTTTTGCAGGTCAACACCCTCAAACTGTCCGACCGAGAAGTAGCTCTCGAGGATTTAACAGATGGGGCAGTCCTTCTGAAAGTTGTCTGTATGCTGTAAGTAGAAGCAATGTGTTGAAATGCTTGGCCTGTGTAAAGAGGGGACGGTCAATGACTGTTGAACTTCATTTTAAACCAGCTTCTCCTGTTACGAGTGTTCTTTCAAGTATAGAGATGCTTATTTCTTATTCTAGTTTCACCTTTTCTGTCAACTCAGGAAAAAGGAACCCAACTCCTGTTTCAGTAATTCCATCGAGGAGCGGTTCAAGATCATTGCAGACTTTGTGGAACGTGAGTTTCTCTGTGCAACCTTTTTTTTTTTTAATATCACTATTGGGTGTGGTCTGAAGTGTGCCACACGGTGTACAAAACACACACCCGGAGAACCACTGTTCTCATTTATGTTAACCTACTAAGTCTCACAGTTAAGACAGATGTTGAATATTGCTTTCCTTTGAGAATTAACCTTTTGTATGTTTCTTTTGTTTATTAGGGGATTGCAGATTTAGTCCAACCAAAGGAACTTTATTATTTTGGGAGAACATCAGAGATGGCATCAACCTTCCAGTAGAAATTGCAAAGGTACAAGACTAAATAAAAACAAGAAAAAGACTTAAGACACACAAACAAAATGGACCCTTCTGACCCGTTCATTGTGATACCACCAGGTGATATTGTTGCTCGTATATCACGACATAATGAATGACCGCCTGACGCTGAACAGGTTGGATTGCGATGTGGAGGTAGGCATTCCCTGATTTGTTATCAATTATCATGTGTCCACCACTTAGAGGCATCACATTTCATTCATCACGTGTTGTGCTATCAATAATTCTGTGGGAATATGAGAGATATCCATCTATCTCCCACTCTTATCTGTTAGCGAGAGATAGCGAACCTAACTGGTTCCTTTGTGATGGAGAATGACGGCTGCGTTTACTTGAGCAGAGGACTTGATGCCCATTTGGCGAGGAAACGTAAGTTAAATATTTGTTGAATCTTTCATTTCTTCATGCCATACCATAATAGACATTAGTATCGCACACCTAATGCTGCTGTATAACACTAGCTTTCTGGTTGGGATTTAACATGCAAGGTGTGAAGTTTGTCAAATCGCGTTTCTCCATAAATTTCAGATTTGCCCGTCTCCCGTGAAATATTTGAGCGACCAACAACCGCCTCGACCTCGAATGTGTCGACAGTCTCGTCATTTTCAGATGACGAGTCCCCCGTCTTCCACCGCATACCCAAAATAACATTTGTGGATATGGAAACTGTGGCTTCCTCCTCGGTTAGGTACCGGTGTGGTTTTGAATTCTTTCAATCCAGTGCTTATCATATACATCAAATGTGAAATCTGCAATTTTATGCACACTGTAACCAAAACGTTGGTTTGGGTATTGATCTATCGGACCTCTTTACGAGACATTTTTCAGCTTAATAAGTTGCTTGTCTCCATTGTAAGACCTTCAGCCCGAGAGAATAAGCAGAAGTATCATTAAAACTTTGTCTGAATAGACATGGTATATGGTAGTTGTTTCATATCCATGTATGTAAATGCATTGGATATTGTTATGATTTGACTATAATTCTTTTATTCCCACAGCAAGTCTCCCCTGCAGGATATCATGAACACGCCTAAATTTCAACTGAGGAAGATGCAGCGACAGATGATCCAGGAGCGAGACTACAGAGATGGGTTGGAGAGGGAGCTGGCCAGCAAGCTGGCACTCATTGCACAGAGAGGTGCCACATTTAAGTGTTTGGATAACACCATTGTTAGTTGGGCAACTGAAAGTGTGCATTATAATGTTGTCTGTCTTTTCATGCATGTTTTTGTTTCTCCAAGTTTAAAGTCTGTTCTATACTTGCTTTGTTTTCTTCAGAGTCTCATATTAGCCAGTTGCAGTACCGCCTGGATAAAATGAAAGAAGAGCAAGGTGATCAGGAGACTGTCATCAGGGAACAGCTCAATGAGATTCAGACAAAGAACAACACGTAAGTACCCAAGGGGCTGTAAGTAAGGCCTATTTATTAATGCATCACAGAGCTAATAACATTTGTACATCAAAGATGTGTGTTCAACTTGAATTTGCGAATAATATTTACATCTACAGGCCGTGACACGTCCCCTGCTAAACTAATAAATGACGGGTGGTTTGATGCTATTATATAACATTCTTCTCGTAGCAATAAGATAATCTATAACAAGTCTCACATTTTGCTCAAGACATTATTTCATACCATGATCCGTCCAAAACATTCAGAATTTGTTGTGAAAGTAACTGAAGAAACTGTTTTTTTTTTTCTGTCTTAGGTTACAAGTGCGATTAAATGAGATGTTGACTCAAAATAAAGACCTGAAGAGTAACTCCTCACTTATGGAGCGCAAAGTGGATCAGCTGTCAGACGAGAATGGTTTACTCTCATCCCAGGTAATGACACTCTCCTCCCCTCATAAGTGAGAAGACAATCGGTAACGGGTCATGTGCCAATTGTACGCATTTGGGGAATATGCAAGTCTCAGTGGGGTCGATGCTAGTAATAACCCTTTCGCATGACGCAGTCACATGTTGGAATCAAAACGTCCAGTTAACACAGATCGTAAAGGCTTTCTTCTGATATTTTTGCAGGTGAGAACTGTGTGTTCACAGCTGGCCATATTTGAGGCAGAAGTTGGCAGGCTGGCGGAAACTCAAGCATCCGCTCAGGACGAGTGGAGCAGCAAAACGGGCCACCTACACTCTGAACTGAACCAAGCTACCACTCAAAAGGTAGGTACACCATCACAAGAGACGCTAGAAACTGCTTTTGAATTGTTAAATCTTGAACTCTGATTCAGGTCGTCTCCACTAGAACTAAATTAAACAATCATACGAGTTTTGTCGTGATTGGACATTTTTTTTTTTTTTTTTTAATTCTACTTTTCCATTAGTCTGATTAATTGCATTTCTACTCAGTTTTTTTTAAAAAATGTAATATGATCCTCTTTGTTTCTCAGGAGCTGCTGACTGAACAAATTCAGATCCTACAGGGAAAGATTTCCTGTTTGGAGGATGAAATAACCCGGGCCTCTGAGGAAGAAGTAGGAGAGAACATGGGACCTGTAATGGAGGTACGGTCCACGATTCTATGTGGAGTTCAGAAAAGCTTGTCAATCAAATATAATCAGTCTTTTTGGATTAGATGGCTACTAATTGTGTTCTGTTTGATTTATAGAGAGAAATGTTGGACACTGAAATCAATGGTTTGAAGAACGAGCTGGAGACCACATTTTGCTGCCTGAAAAAGGCTGAGGTGGAGATTGAGGCCAAAACACAGCAGCTGGCGGAGTGTCAACAAGAAATTAATCAACAAAAAGAGCTCCTGAAGCAACAGGAGGCCCAAACTGAGGCAATTATTCAAGCCAAGGATGAAATTATAGACCAATTGAAAAGGGAGATCACTGAGCAGAGAGCTGTCATTCAGCAAGAGATCCAGGATCTCAAGATTCAACTTGAGCAAGTTGAGCAGCAGAAAACTGAGCAGATGACCAGACTACAACAGCACATTGCTGCTTGTGAACAAGAAATTGAAAAACTTAAGGAAATTAAGAAAGAGAAGGAAGGCCTTCTGCTCCAGACTGAAGAAAACGTGACACATCTTGAGACAAAGTTATCTGCTGCCAGTTCTCTCTTGGTTGATAAAGACCAAGAAATTAATAGTCTCAGAAAAGAAGTTTCCATTCTTACAGATAAAACCCAAAACAACCAAAATGAAATTCAAACTAAAGAGGAAATGCTTGCCGAATTACTTCTGGAGAAGTCTAATGAGCAAGACATTTTTTGTAATAAAATCCAGACCCTAACCGTCC